TATACATACACTGTATGGAAACGACACGATTAAGCAGTTCTATGGCATTCTGACAGGGAGTTCGTGTCATCTCTTCTTCTTTAAGAGCCGATACCTCGTCCTCGAGAAGCGCTGAAACACACTCTTGAGAACAATCACATATTGACGGCAAATCATATCTAAACAATAGAGACATCAATTAGCGTACAATTTAAGCAACAATTCATTCACTCATTCATACCCTCCTTCGAGAGACATCACCACTTTTCCATTGGCCAAAGTCATCAACTGTTGGGTCAAATAACCGAAACAATTGGCCGACACTTGATATCCACCCAAAGGCGGCGGATGGCCTTTGGCTGAATCGAAACCAGAGGCCACCATAACTATATCGGGATTAAATTCTCGTGCGATGGGCATCACAATAGCCCGGAATGCGGCCAAGTATTCGGCGTCACCCATGGGTGGGCTCAATGAGCCGCACCAACCAATGTTCACATTAAAGCCGACGCCTTCGCCAACACCGACCTCTTGGAGATCACCGGTTCCGGGGAAGAAGTTGCCGTCATCGTGTCGGTGCAGTGAGATGTACAGCACGTGCGGGTCGTTGTAGAACATCTGCTGAAGACCGTTGCCGTGATGCACATCCCAGTCCACTATCAGTATCTTTTCCATCTTCAGCTTCAATTGTAACTGTTTTATAGCGATTGCGATTGAATTGAAGAAACAGAAACCCATCGCCTGTTGGTGTTCGGCGTGACTGCCGGGAGGTCTGACCACTGCGAACCCGTTCTGCACCAACACATACCACACCATTAGCTCACATTCGAGTTCAACTATATCTCCATCTATATATCGATACATACCTTACACTCTCCTGTGGCCACTTTGAGTGTCAGGTCAACGACACATCCGGCGGCCATTCGTGCGGCACCTGAAGTGTGTAACTCATTCCAAGTGGTGTCGGAGTCGACGCCAATCCCACCGCACGGCAACATCACAAAACTCTTTATCGGAAGATCAGCTGAGAGTCCAAAACAAAATTATTACAAATATATTCGTATTTGTTTGACGACAAACATTATGAATGAATGAATACCGAGTTTAGATGCGTCCAGTTTTTGACGATTTAATGGATTCGTTCCGAAGAGCAAAGAATAAGCTTCGCTGTAATATTTTGGACACAATTAAATATGGATTCATTTGCCTTAATATGTGAATACCTGTGACATAATTGAATTTCTTCTAACGTGGCTTTTCTGGACCTCACTCTCTGTTAACATAAAATATATAATAAGATCACAAACCGAATAGAAGGAAATTAATGGACAACAGGATCATTAGGATCAGTCATACCTCACACCTGGCGGCCAGACCTGTCTCTTGAAGTCGAGCCCAAATGCTTTGAAGACGTCCTCCGTGTTCGGGATGATGGAAATTGTCGGCACAAATACACTGATGTTTAAGCATAAGACTATCGTAAACGAGTCCCGTTGTAAACACGTGACGCGTGGAGACAGTATACGTTTCGTGTCCGCCATTAGGGCTGAGCGTCACTAAAGGACTGGACAGTGTTCTGGAGAGCGGCCGGTTTGGGTGCGGGTGATGGCCGGGACGAGAGTGAGGGCCCAATAGACTCACTGTATTGGACTCGAGTCGCGGTGACATGAGATCGCGCTGTTGTTGAAGGAATGCCTCTCGTTCTCTATGCTGTCGATCCATTTCCGTATCACAAGCGGCCAATCGTTTGCTGGAAGCGGTCAAATCCATGACACCGTCGGGACCGACCGGCAACTCGTGATGAATTTCCAACAACGAGTCTTTCATCTCTTGGGCAACGGCTGCCTCCGTCTCTTCCTCCACATTCTCCACGACCTGACCCTTAGACGAGGCTCTGGTGAGGACTGTCTGCCGGATGTGTTGTTTGACAAGATTTCGATGCTGTTGTTCGTAGAGTTGTTTTTCGCGATAATATTGTTCACTTTGTTGCGGCGATAATATGATTCCCTGTGCGCCCGGTTGTAGCATAGGATGACCCAACGGCAGGGGAGCGCTCTGTGTCCGACCCAATGGCCGCTGAAGACTCCTCTGAAGCCTCGCCTGAGCCACTTGCGAGTCCGTTAGCACACTTCCCGGTGGATATGGATATATGGTTCCAGTGATGGAAGTGACAGCACTGGACTGACTTATTGGTATGGGTTGTGAGACTCTGGTCTGCTCCAGAACTTTCATCTGTTGCTGTATATAACCCGGACTCGTAGGCGGTGTAAACTCGCCCTCAATTACTGTTCAATACATTGAATTACGTGTAAATTAGATTGAATGCACAAATGGACGCAAGAGTTGCCTCAATACCTGGCAATGAGGGATAAAAGGGTAGACCAGATGACGAGTGGTGGGCGTGAATGGTGTTCATTGGCATCGCGAATCTCAGGCCTCGCATTTGAGTCTCGCTAACGGATGTGATGGCCTTTCCTGACTCTGAGTGCTATTATTCGTATTATTAACACAATTAATGATCAAATATGTAATCATATATCAATTGATGGCAAAGACATACAATCGCAGTACTGGTGGTAGTGTTGGGCACATGAGGTCTACCGAGCGATATATTTGGTAGAGAAGGCGATGAATAGAGAGTTAGATCACAAACGGATCCCTGATTTAATGAGCTGAATGGTGAATGACTCGGTTCCTAATGTGACCGTATATTCAAGTAATTAATTAAATAAAAACAATTTAAAATCAATAAACAAATGTCTCGTCATATTATGCCATCAAATAAAACATATATTTAATTAATCATTCATTATCTGTATATATTAAAAGTGTATATCATGTAAAAAGTAGTTAAATCTTTAATATCTGTTTGTTTTATAATTAAATGAATGACAAATTTCAGTCTTTTATAATTAGGAAATTCTAACATTTATTTTGGTTTTAATTTTTTAATAAATTTGTAGTAAAAAATGTAAATTCTTAAAAATAGTCAGACAGACAGACAAAGCAGCACAAAGAGGCACAAAGAGGCTGTGGGGGTGAAGCGAAAATAAATCTCAAAACTATGAACAAATCATTATAAAGTATGTATTTATAGACTTTTGGTAAAAATATTATACTATTATGAATGCTAGAGTTTTGGCGCAATTTACGGGACATTTCTGAGTCTAAATATAAGAGTCGAGTAAAGAGAGTGAACATGTATTTCAAACAAAACATAACACATGTATTGCTAACCAAACCAACGATATATAAATACATTGAACGCTATTTATAGAGAACTTATGCGAAATCCTGTTAACAATTTAGGGGAAGAGAAGACGAACTAATTTGAGAACACTTTTCTGTGCCTTCTTTTTAATCACTCCATTCCTCCCATCACTCCCATGCCATCTCCTCTCAGTCTCTCTCTCTCTCTCTCTCTCTCTCTCTCTCGCTCTGATAAAATGAATGGTAGGATTCTGTTCCCAAAGTAAACAGAACCAAGGCTTTAAGGGCTCACATATGCCATTATGTACAGTACATATAGTAATAATGTTATAATACTAATAACGATAATAATTTTTGGTTATAGAGTTTGTGCCAAAATTATATGTAATGGTTTAGTAATGGCTGCAAACGGTTGGCAATGGAAATACAGATTAAGTGTTTTTAGTGTTTATGACTATTGAGTATATGTTAGGCTATTCTTAGAATGAGAAGCGATTCCAAAAATATATTGCAAAATGTTTGGCGCAAACGCTGTCCAACACATCCCACACACCATAAACCAGACACTATTTTTAGCATATTTTCTATAGAATATTCTGCACAACATATACTATTATACGGCACTGTATTATTTATTTCAGATTATACTCTGTATACATCAAGCAGACCTTTTCCAATGTATTTCAAATATATTGCAAATATTTAAAAATGTTTACAAAAAAATATAATAAATAAGTTCTACTTATTATTGTATAACAATAACAGTTATTATCAAATTGTTTTTAAGATAATTTTTTCCAATATAATTCTCAATAATATTCAGCCTCAGTAATAACAAAAAAATAAAGTATAATGAGCTTTAGATATATAACTATTACAATTCTCATATAATTAAATTAAATTGGTTTTAGATATTATTTAGTATTCAACAAAAAATATTTGATGACATATTTATTAGAGACATTATACATGTAGAGTATATTAAAAGTAAATGCAAACCTCTTGAATAGGAGTACTGCCAGCACTGGATTGAAAACTCGAATGATTGGAACCACTGGGCGGTGACTCTGATAGACATTCTGGTATACCATTACCTAAAATACCGTATTATTAACAATAATCAATAAATAATCGCTTTTAATTATTAATTGTTCAAGATAACTTAGATCATCATTGTAATTAAAAATAACAGTAAAACTATAAAAATACAATTATATTTTAAGAACTAAATTCTATTTATAAAATATCTGTTTACCAGAATATTAATTATAACGCTATCATTAATATTATAAAATTAAATTAATAAATGTATTTAAAAATAACTTTATAATCATATATCAATAATTGTAAAAAGTAATAATACAATGATGATTAAATAATTAATTTAAATATAATCTATATGTATGTAAGCAATTTGTAAAAATATTCAAGTAAATTAATAATTGAAAGGCAAACAAAAACAAGTTATGGAGAATTAGTAGAATAATATAAATTAGTATTTCTAGTTAGTAGTGATGGATATCATGCCATACTTGTGAGAGTGGATCTCCTCTTGAGAGGGGATGCCTTGTCTTTTCTCCTGAGGAGTGGAGAACTGCGGCGTTGAATCACTTTCGCCTTTAAGACAGACCGCACTTTTAGGTTCGGCTCAGACGCTGTCCAAACAAGTCATGCCATAAGCATTAGTCTCATTGAATCCATTAGTTATATATACAAACATCGCATAACATATTTATTACAATACTTAAGTCAATCATTAATGAAATAATGTTTTAGTTTTCGATCGCATATTGTTTAAGCGCTTAATAGTTTATTGTTATTTTATTAAACACATCAACTATTCTATTATGTATTTCATCCAATTTTTCAATTAGTAAAAACTCATTTTAAACATTTAATCAATTGATTGAATTTTATATCGCGATAATTATATCATTTCATTTGATTTAAATCTTAATAACAAAATGTTAAGGTTTACCTGTTTTTCGGAGGGGGAAGTCGTTCTCATATTTTCCAATAATTGGTTGCCTTTAATAATAATCAGAATAATTAAAAATTAACATATATTTCGCTAAAATATTCGTTAGGAATTTTCGAGAAATATCTATTTGAATATAAAGTATCATATACTGTACAGTGTATAATATACACTGTATATACTCAATGATCGATCCAAACATTCGGCGAATTTAATTATAAATAACTTTTAATATAGATTGATTTATATATTGATTAATATCAAATGTTTTCAATCTCAAATTAATTTGTATTTTTTATATTAATATTTAGACATAAAATTTTAAAAAACTTTACTTTGACCATCATGATATACTATACTGGCTATAAAACTTTTGATTTAAAATTACCAATTACATATATAAGAATGTAGAATTATATTTTAGATTTGAAATTACGGAATTATTCATTAAGAATGCTCGGCTGAGTACTGACCAGTTTCTTGTGCCGGGAGTGGGCGGCGAGTTGTTGGCACTGTTGGCTGCGGCCGCTTCTCTCTGTTTTTTGCTCAAAACAAACTCTTGGAGTCGTTGTTTCACTTCAGACGAAGCGATAGCGCTTTGTTCGTGCTATTGAAAGTTGCAATATCTGGAGTTAGTATTAACGAGTTTACATTGGTGCTTTATTGTTACATTTGCAATTATAAAGTAAATACTCAATTCAGCCTTGGATATATAGTCAAGGTATAATTTTGATAGAGTTAATGTTATAACTGCATTGCTAACTATGAGCATGATTGAAAGTAAATGTTGTACTTTTGCTGCAAATACTTGATTGGTAAGTGTAGTGATATTTATTTGATGTATTTCAAATATTAATGCTAAAACTTACACACATTCTATGTCTTGGGATTTTGGCCACTTTATATTTAAAATCAAATTAAAGTGTTTAGAATTTACCCTATATCTATTTACTTTGTCTTATTTAATAGCGTCAAAAGTATGTATTTTAATAGATGATCTTTAATTGAATATTACATAAATTTATAGAATTTATAATTAATTTTGAAATCTGTTGAAAATGAGTTAATTATAACAATATTTGATTTTTATTACAAGTAAAGCAATTGTAATTTGATAATAATTTTAATGTCTTTAAAAACCTTTTCAATAAATTAATTAAAGTTGATTTTAAGGAAATTATATTTAAAGTGAAGTCTGGCTTTCATTTCCTTTAGTCAGAAACTTCTGTTTATAAGTTTAGCGAATATTATTAGCAGTAATATATTTGTATTGCAAATATGTCTAACAATTTAATTATCATATTAGCCGATAAATTGTCTGAATGTAAAGTAATCTAAATTTGTTTTGTAAACGTTATGTTTTAATAATTATTTATATTTAGTTCATTATTAGAATCCATTTAACTCGTCGACAATCTAAACTATTTTTACAATTTTTGCTATTTTAATGTAATTTTTCGTTTTTATATTTGAATCCGTTTAGTAAAAATCTAAAATATTTGTCAATATAAACGTGGTGTTATTTTTAATAATACAAATTGTAGTATTTTCAAAATAAATATGTTTTTGAATTGAATTTTATTTACAAATATAGAGATTAACGATAATTATTAGTATTTTATTAGTAATTACTGTATTAGTATTATACAATACTTATTTTAACATTGTATTTGATTTATTTTTCAGGTGAAATAAATTCAGTCAATTTTATCACGAATGATAGCAACAGCGGCCGAGAAATGGCTAACAATAGTCAAAACTCGATAGTTTCAGCGGGTCTTCAGGAACAACACTTGCAGTTTCAACAACAACTCATTCAACTCAAACAACAACAACAACTACAACAACAACTATTACTCCAACACTTCCAACAACAACAGCAACAGTTGGCCGAACAGCACGAAAAGCAGCTCCAGGAAAGGATCAGGGTACGTTTACTTCACCAAATAAACCACTAATTGCATAATATATTTATACTCTCATATTGCGACCTTACCTGATATTCACACATACAATAGTGTTATATTAATATGAGTTGGAGTTACCTGTTAATAGGCATATACAGTATGTATTAAGTGCGGGCATATTTACAAATACCGGCAATTATATCATTAAATTTAGATTATTAGGATTCAATTTAGAATCAATCATCAGGTTAAAAAATATCTTATTGTAAGCAAGGTTTACTCGATATCACTCTAAACTATGTCTTCTCTGTTTTTACAATAGAATGTAAAATTGACTAAAAAGTATTTGTTAGACATAACACGTTATAATAGTTACATAATTCATAATCGAGTATAATTTATATCATAATTATGTAAAACTGATCCCTCACTACAATCTAAAAATATATTAACTTTATAATTAGAAACAATAGAGTAAAATGTGCATGGTTAACATTGAATTTTATATTCAAATATATGTAATTATCATAATATTTAAAAAATTAATATTATTTACATAATGACACAACAGAAATATAAATTTATCAAGTGATTTGTTTGGGTATAATTCTATATTTATATAAGTTATCAGTTAACAATTATAATAGTTAAGATAACAATTTATCCAACTGTTATTATGAGTGATTTTAAATTAATTTTAATTACCGGGACTTAAATTGATAAGAAATAAGAAGTATTTCAATATTATTATAATTAAAACTAACCAAAAATTTTGAATTATTTCCATATGAAATTTGCAGACGAATAATGACTTAATTATAAAATTTTATTCATTAATAAAAACATGTATTCATAGGAAGATAAATATGTTTTAAAATATAAATGTTTCAAATGATATCAAATATAAAATTTTTATATTTTTGAAATTCAAAAATATGTTTTTTGTTACAAACTTACAAAATGTCTTGTTTACAAAATGAAATTTATTTAAATATAGTCTATCCCGGATATAAGCAATCGATAGGTGCATTCAATATTATTCTCTTATATCTGGGTTTACCTAACCGGGTATACTCCAGTTTATATAAAAAAACATTTTGAATTGTTTTAATCACTTTATTAACTAAGTTAGTTAGAAATAGACATATAATCAGTGATTTTCGATTGATAATAACGTAGTTTCTATTTTCATACATTTGGTTCTTTAAATTAAGTCATATTTATCGTCAAATACATTGTATTGCATGAAAAGCACTAATTTATATGACAATACAATGTTTAAAATGCATGGATTTTAACACACATTTACACTTAAATCTCTGATGCAAAATCTCCGGTGCAAAAAATTTACCAAGGGTTTAGCTTATATCCCGTTAGCCTATAGCCGGGACAGACTGTAATAAGTTATGTACAGTATGTTTGACTCGCGATTAATCACTAGTTATAATACCTATTGGTTTAGAATTGAATAATAGTGGATAACTAAATGAATGTTTGATTGAATTGTAGGAATATTTAGAGCAGCAAAAGCAATACGAAGAGGAACAGAGGGTTGAGAAGGAAAGGGTTGAAAAGGAGAAGTTGGAGGCACTGAAGAAGAAGGAAAAGCACGAACAAAGCGCTATCGCTTCGTCTGAAGTGAAACAACGACTCCAAGAGTTTGTTTTGAGCAAAAAACAGAGAGAAGCGGCCGCAGCCAACAGTGCCAACAACTCGCCGCCCACTCCCGGCAC